AGTGGATAGAGCACCAGCTCTGAAGTCAGGAGGACCTGAGTTCAAATCTGGCCTCAGACACCTGACACTTAACTAGCTGTGTGACCCTGGGCAAGTCACTTAATCCCATTGCCTAGCAAAAAAAAAACACAAAACAAAAAAACACCAGAAGTGTTAACCTTGGTAAGGAGAAGGGCCACCTCATTATTAGAGTTGGAGTAAGAAGGAAATACTGGGAGACAATATCAGGGGCTTGCACGATGAGATGGAAAATAACCCATTGCCTCGATTTTCTTAATAAAGTATGAGGCTAGGTAGTCAACTGAGAGGGAGGGTGAAGGAGGGAGTTCTATAGAAGGCTTAAGTCAAGAAGAAGAAGTTTTCAGTAACTCCTGTGGTGAATATGATGGAGAATTAATTAGAGAGGAATATAAAGATTACCTTATTTCAGTAAATGCCCGGTTGAAATTAGGTAACATAAATTTGTGATAGATGCAGTCAGCATAATTCCTTGCCTTTCTCTAGCTCTATTTAGTAGCACACAAGTAGGAGTGGAGCAAGTAAATTGTGGAAATATTCTAGGGTTGGGATTTGGCAAGGCACGAACAGTGGTAGTACAAGGAAGCAAGAAATTCAGTAGGGGATAGTGTAAAGTTGAGCTAGTTCACTCAGAAGTATTAGATGGGGAGGAGAGGAAAGTGTACCAAAACATGGAATGATGGCCTAGAAATTTACTGACAGGTGGAGGGATTGGAGGTAACTGTGAGAATGAAGGGTACATTTAGGCAAAGCGAGGCATAAGGAAGAGGTGGAATGATCAGATAAAGGAATTTCAGAGTTCTTGACCATGGCAGTGGAACTTTTGTGAGTGATAGCAAGATCAAGGGTGTGACCATTCCTGTGTATATAGCTGAGGTAGAATGGCCATAGAAATTAAATAGATTGAAAAATTGATAAGTTAGGGTATTTGAGGGAATGTCGACATGGATGTTGAAGTCCCGTTGTCTAAGTACAGGATTTGGAGTGGAAAGAAGCCGTGAAGGAGTCACTGAACCCATTGTCAAAGGAAGGAGAATGACCTGGGAGTTTGGGTAGAGGAAGCCTTAAAGGAAGAGACATTGTTGAGATGGCACTAGAGGAAGGATCTAGAAGTGGCAATAAGGAGCAGGAAATATTACACTAGGACCAGAGTGAGTCAGGGGTATCAGATAAAGTATAACCAGTATATGAAAATTGGTCGAAGGAACAAAGCATATTTATCTTGAAGAAGAAAAAACTTAGTGAGGGCATAGTAAGTGTTTTCTAATACTTGCTGGATTGTCATAGGAAAATTGATTAGATTTGATCAGTTTGACCCCAGATAACTGAATTAGGAGTACAGAAGTAAGAGAAGAAGAGTTCAGCTTGATATAAGAAAAAACCTTGTACTGGTGCAATCCAAAAGTAGAATGTGCTGCCCTGGGAGGTAGTAAGTTCCACATCCCTGAAGATCTTCACATTGATCAGCAACAGTATTAAAGGAAAAGCAGAGTTCAGATGTAGGTCAGACTGGATGGTCTCAGAGGTCCCTTGCATTTCTAAGAATCTGTAATTCTATTTCCTATTTTCCTGTCTTCAGAGAAAACAAAGATTTTTTAAACAGGGCAGTCTAGTTGCTACTTTACTGAATTTAATGTGAACTTTTAAACAAAATTTAACAGAAGTTCATTGTTTCCTACACAATCCTCTTTTTTGCTCACAGAACCATTTTGTGTACTGGAATGTTTGTTTTGGTTGATTAAATCTGTAATAAAAAGTATTTTTTAAAAAAGGTTTGAGGAGGGGCAGCTAGGTGGTGCAGTGGATAGAGCACTGGCCCTGAAGTCAGGAGGACCTGAGTTCAAATCCAGCCTCAGACCAAACACTTGACATTTACTAGCTGTGTGACCCTAGGCAAGTCACTTAATCCTGATTGCCTCACCAAAAAAAAAAAAAAAAAGGTTTGAAGAGCCAAGATGGTGGAGTAAAAGCAGGGATTTGCTTGAGCTCTCCTGTAAAATGCTCCAAATACCTGTAAAAAATGACTCTAAATAAATTCTAGAGCGACAGAACCCTCAAAAAGACAGAGTGAAACAAATTTCCAACCCCAGACAACCTGGATGGCCTATGACAAAGATCTGTTGCACTGGTCTGGGAGAGGGACAGCAGTTCAGCTTGGGCTGCATTGGCACAGACCATACTCCAGCAGGCCCAGAGCAGGCCTCAGGGGATTGAATCACTGGCAGCTGTGGTGGTTTCCAGACTTCTCAACTCACAAACTCTAAAGTCAGTTTAGAAGGTCAGTAGTAAAGGTTTGTTGGGGTGGCAGCAGCGGCAGCAGCTGCTTCTAGAGCTCTCAGCCACAGGCGGTAAAGAGATCAAACAACTGATCAGAAGGGGATTACAGGGATCTCTTTCCTGGCAGTGAGGCGGGATTCTATTGCTTTGCTCTTACTTGGATCTGGGTGGCAATCCTGGGGCAAGAAGGAGCACTGGCATAGCAGAGCTTGTGGAGAGAGAACCCTCCTCACAGTCCCAGGGCAGAAAAGAGTGCTTGTGGTCATTCAAAGACCAGAGCACAGGCCAGAAGAGGAATAAACACCTCCCCCTTAGATCATACCACCTTGCAAGAACTGAAAACTTACAGGTCCCTAGAAGTATCTTTGAAAACAACTGCACAGAACCCTTGAAGCTTGGGACAGTATACCCTCCACACTGGAAGCAGAGCCCTACGTTAACAAAGAGTTAAAAAGTGAAGTAATTGGCTTGCAAAATGAGCAAACAACAGAAAAAAGTTCAGACTGTAGAATCTTACTTTGGTGAGAAGAAAGGTCAAAACATACAATCAGAAGAAGACAACAAAGCTTCTACATCCAAAGCCTCCAAGAAAAATATGCATTGTTTCCAGGCCATGGAAGAGCTCAAAAAGGATTTTGAAAATCAAGTAAGAGAAGTAGAGGAAAAATTGGGAAGAGAAATGAGACTGATGCAAGAAAATCATGAAAAATGAGTCAACAGCTTGCTAAAGGAGACTCAAAAAAATACTGAAGAAAATAACACCCTAAAAAATAGACTAGACCAAATGGCCACTGAAGAAAAAAACTCCTTAAAAAGCAGAATTAGCCAAATGGAAAAAGAGGTCCGAAAGCTCACTGAAGAAAATAATTCATTAAAAATTAGAATAGAGCAAATGGAAGCTAATGACTCTATGAGAAATCAAAAAATTATGAAACAAAACCAAAAGAATGAAAATAGATCCAGGAGAGATAATTTAAAAATTATTGGACTACCTGAAAGCCATGTTCAAAAAAAGAACCTAGACATCATCTTTCAAGAAATTATCAAAGAAAACTGCCCTGAGATTCTTGAGCCAGAGGGTAAAATAGAAATTGAAAGAATCCACCAATCACCTCCTGAAAGAGATCCCAAAAGGAAAACTCTCAGGAATATTATAGCTAAGTAACAGAACTCCCAGGTCAAGGAGAAAGAAAGAAACAATTCAAGTATTGTGGGAACACGATCAGGACAACACAAGATTTAGTAGTTTCTACATTAAGGGACTAGTAAAACCAAAAATCACCTACCCAGCAAAACTGAGTGTAATGCATTGCTTGTGGGCGGGGGGGGGGGGGGGGGGGTTTGGGGGGGGGGGGGAATTGATACTCAATGATGTAGAGGAATTTAATGCATTCTTGAGAAGCCAGAGCTAAATAGAACAAATTGACTTTCAAATACAAGACTAGAGAAGCATGAAAAGGCAAACAGGAAAGAGAATCATAAGGGACTTAAGTTGAACTGTTAACGTTCCTATGTGGAAAGATGCTATTTGTGACTCATGAGACCTTTCTCATTATTAGGGTAGTTGGAGGGAATATATATATAGACAGAGAGCACAGGGTGAGTTGAATATGAAGGGATAATGCTAAAAAAAATAAAATTAAGGGGTGAGAGAGAGGAATGTACTGGGAGAAGGAGAAAGGGAGAGGTAGAATGGGGTAAATTATCTCACATAAAAGAGGCAAGAAAATGTTTTTACAGTAGAGGGGAAGAGGGGGGAGGTGAGAGGGAATGAGTGAACCTTACTCTCATCAGATTTGGCTTAAGGAGGGAATAACATACACACTTAATTGGGTATGGAAATCTATCTTACCCTACAGGAAAATAGGAGGGAAGGGGATGGGGGAGGAGATGATAGAAGAGAGGGCAGATTGGGGGAAAGGGTAATCAGAAGCAAACACTTTAGAGGAGGGACAGGGTCAAAACGGGAGATGGGATAGGATGGAGGGAAATAAAGTTAGTCTTATACAACGTGACTATTATGCAAGTGTTTTGCATGACTGCACATGTATAACCTATATCAAATTGATTGCCTTCTCAGTGAGGGTGGGTGGGGAGGGAGGGTGGGAGAGAATCTGGAACTCAAAAGTTTTAAAAACAAATGGTAAAAATTGTTTTTACATGCAAATGGGAAATAAGATACACAGATAATGGGGTATAAAAATCTATCTTACCCTATAGGAAAATAGAAGGGGAAGGGGATAAGAGAAAGGGGGCGGGTGGTGATAGAAGGGATGGCAGCTGTCATGGGGTGGGGGTAGGGGAGAGATAGGGAGAAAATTTGGAGCTCAAAATCCTGTGGAAGTTAATGTCAAAAACTAAAAATAAATTAAAATTTAAAAAAAATTAAAAGGGTTTGAGAAACAAAATGGCTCAGTGGAAGAAGCACTAGACTTGAAATCATAAGATACGGGTTCAGGTCCTGAGTCTTCCATTTACTAGCTGTGTTACTGTCAGTTGCCCTCTGCAAACACTGTTTGCTCTTCAGGAAAATGAGGACAGTGGTATTTTTATTGTTCTCCTCATAGGGCCATTGTGAGGAATGCCCTCTGTAAACAAAAAACACAATAGAAATAGGAACAACTGTTGGGCTAGTGGAGTGATGTGTTTGGGAAAAAACAGTAGAATGCCAGCTTCCTCATGAGTTATAAATGCTTGTTTTTTAGGTATCCACATGGGAGAAGCAGATTTACACCTGCTGTCGAGATGGTGTTGTGCGCCGGTATCAGCTCTCTGACCTTTGATAACTCAGAGAGCTGAGTGATTGGCTAGAAACCAGAATCCTTCATCACCGGGGAGCTGAGACCCCACTGGCCTTGTGGGACCATAGACCCTCTACACTGGGCACACACAGCATGCTAGGGCTCTGTTCACAGGGCCAGAAAGACCCAAATACTGTCCTCCGTGTGACCTTTGGCTTGTTTCAGTCCACACAGAGAGCCACTTGGATCTGAGCAAACATGTAATTTCTATCTGCGTTAGCATCCACTCCTCCTTTCCCCTGCACCACAGTCAGCACATCCCCATTCCCTCTGTTCAACGATTAATGTGGCCCCGGGGATGCAGAAAGGGAGCCCCTCTCTCTGCAGGACTTTGTTCACTATGTATATGCTGTTCAGTTTTCTGAGACATCAAGTCCATTGAATGTACCTATGGAACCAGAGAATCAAAGCTAGCCCCTCATGAAGGAAATAAAGGAGAAGCATTTGGAGACATCAGGAGAAATCTTGTTTCATGTTTTCCCACAAGATCTGTTATAGCTCTAAAGCTGAAAAGCACAGTAGCTTTAGATTTGGAGACAGAAGTACCTGGGTTCCAACCCCAGATATTCTTATTAGTTGTGTGGCTTTGGGCAAGTCCTTTCCTCTGTCTAGGCTGCACTTGCTTTATCTGTAAAATAAGGGCTGAGATTCCATGATTAGTCAAACAAACACCAAGTATTTAAATTCCTTCTGTATGCAGGCATGGCTAGGGACTAGGGAAACCTTAAAAAAAATAATAAACCGTTTTTAGCCTCAAGGAGTTTCCATTCTATTGAGAGAGATAGCTTGTATGTAAATAAATATATACAAAATGAGACCATTTTTGGTGGGGGGAGAAGCACTAGTAGGTAGGGTCAGGGCAGGCTTCCTGTAGAAAGTGGTATTTGAGTTGAGCTTTTGGGGTTTTAACAGGTGGAAATGAAGAGGAAATGTATTCTAGGTATGGGGGACAGCCTGTACAGAGATAGGAGATGGAGTGTCATGTAAGGAATAGGAAGATCTGTTTGTACCAAAGAGAGCATTAAGGAAAGTAATGTCTGCTAAACCTGGGAAGGCAGGCTGGAATTAGGTGTGAAGAGCTTTAAATGCTTAACCCAAGGAGTTTGTATTTGATCTTAGAAGTAAAGGGAACCATTGTAGTTTGTTTATTCAGCATGGAAATGACACGATCAGATTTTAATTTCAGCAATGTCACCTTGGAAGTTTTGTAGAGGATGAATTAGAAGAGTGGTGGAGGCAAGAACAGTTAGGAGGCTGTTGTAATGGCTTAAGGAGGTGATAAGAGCCTGAGCTAACATGGTATTATAGAGGTAGAATCAAAAAGACTTGGCAATCAATTGCTAAATAGTAAAACCCTGACCTTAATGTCTACTCTCAAATGCTTATCTAGGTCTAACAAATGAGGAATTAAGGATCTAATGCAGAAGTGCATGTTTGACTTAATGTGTGTTAAAGGGCCAGAGGCTTGGGGTGAGGAGGGTAGAGTAATCAACAAATCAGTCAATAAGCATTTATTAAGCACCTACTATGTGCCAGAAATTGTGCTAAGCAAGCCCTGGGGATACAAAGAAAGGTAAAAGACCATGCCTCTTTTCAAGGAGCTCACAGACAACGTGCAAACCACTGTGTACAGATGAGGTATAGAAAGGCTACATCAGAAATTAAGGGAAGGCACACCATTAAGGGACATACGGAAAGGTCTCTGGCAGAAGGTGGGATTTTAGCTGAGACTTGAAGCCAGAGAAGTTGAGGTGGAGATGAGGAGGGAGAGTGTTACAGGGTTGGAGGACAGCAAGTAAAAATGGAGTCGGGAGATGCCATGTGTAGTAAGAGAAACAGCAAGGCAGTGAGGGTCACTGGATCACAGAGTATGTGGAGGGGACTAAAAAGCAGGAAGGGACAAGGTTACGGAGGGCTTTCTTTAAAAACCCAACAGAGGCTTTTATATCTGATACTTGAGGCAACACGGAAGCCACTGGAGTCTATTGAATAGGTGGTGACATGGTCAAACTTGTATTTTAGGAGGATCAGTTTGAGTGGAGAATGATGTACATTGGGAAGAGTTGAAGCAGGGAGATTCACTAGCAGGTTATTATAATAGTCTAAATGTGAGGACATGAAGGCCTTCACTAGGATGATGGCAGTGTCAGAGGAGAGAAGGAAGCATTTACTAGCAATGTTGTGAAGGTAGGGAGGAGGTGTTAGCAATAAATTAGCTATGGGCAGTGAGGGAGAGTGGCTTATCTGAGCCAGAATATTCACAAAAATAAACATATGTTTGATGAAAATGATGGGGAAATTGGGAAGCTGCTAAACAAGAAATGTGAACTCCACAGGGTTTACCCACAGGACAGCTCATCTGTCTCTAAGAAGGTAGCATTTAACTCCAAAAGTAAAGAGCAAGGAAAGCTTAGAGAGATGCAGGATTCTTGACTCAGTCTTACTGCCTTCTTAAGGCAAACAAGATGCAATTTTACAGTGACAACAACAGTCCATAGAGCTTCTGTGAAGATTATGGGACAAAGATGTCTGGTGCATCTCAACTACTCAGTGCTGAATGAACCACGCTATTCTGTAATAAAGACATGATCCTGGAGATATGGGCCAAACACTTCCATAGCGTTCTCAACAAATTGTCATCAATTAGGGCTGAAGCCATTGACTGTATGCCTCGGGTTGTAGACGATCCCTCTCTAGCCAAACTTCCAACTAAAGAAGAGGCATCAAATGCCTTCAGGCTCCTCTTGAGTGGCAAAGCACCTGGCACTGATTCTATCCCAGTAGAGAACTACGAGGCAAAGGGTTTCTTTAGCATACAGAAATGGACTGAAATCTTCCGGATTATATGGCAAGAGGAAGTTATCCCCTGGGAGGTCAAGGATGCCTCTATTGTCCATTTTTTTTTTTTTTTTTTTTGCAGTTGGGGTTAAGTGACTTGCCCAGGGTCACACAGCTAGTGCCTGTTATGTATCTGAGGTCAAATTTGAACTTGGGTCCTCCTGACTCCAGGGCCGGTGCTCTATGCACTGTGCCACCTAGCTGCCACATTGTCCATCTTTAAAAAGGAAAAGATAACGAGATAACCTGTGACAATCACAGGGGGATCTGTCATTGCTGGCAAGATTCTTGCCAGAGTCCTCTTTAATTGACTGATTCTTCACCTGGAAGATGGTCATCTGTCTGAGAGCCAGTATGGCTTCAGAAAGGACCAAGGAATGAGGACATGGTGTTTGCTATCTGATAACTCCAGGAGACATGCCAGGAGTACAACAAATATCTGTACACAATGTTTGTTGACCTGACCAAGGCCTTTGATACTGTCAGTCATGAAGACCTATAGATGATCATGGTGAAATTTAGCTGCCTGGAGAAGTTCATTAGTATTATACACCATTTTCATGGTGGCATGCTCACATGGGTTCTGGCTGAAGAACGGTGCTCTCACACTTTCCCAGTCACCAGTGGAGTGAAACAGGGCTGTATGCTTGCTCCCATGCTTTTTAGCATAATGTTTTGTGTGATGTCAATGCCTTCAACAAGGACAAAAACAGCATCAAGGTCAGCTACTGAAATGATAGTAAATTACTTAACTTGAAAAGGCTACCAGCCAAGACCAAAGTGAAGGTAGAGTTGGTATGCAACTTTTTGTTTGTAAATGATTGTGCACCCAGTGCAGCCTCTGAGGTTGAGATGCGACAAAGTATAGATTGATTCTCAGCCTCTTGTGCTAATTTTGGCCTGACAATACAAAGAAAACAGAAGTCCTTTATCAGCTAACACTGCACCAACCATACATGGAACCATGGGTAACAGTAAATGGGGAAATTTTGAATTCTGTGGATAAGTTCACTTACCTTGGCAGTATACTTTCCAGGGATGTCCATATAGATGATGAGGTTGATGCACACATTACCAGAGCTAGCTCAGCATTTAGAAGACTCCAAAACAAAGTGTGGGAGAGAAGTTTTAGTCTGCCCACCAAACTGAAGGTCTACAGAGGCATTGTGCTGACTTCACTGTTATATGCCTGTGAAACATGGACAGTCTGTCAGTGCTATGCCAGGAAACTGACCTGCTTCCACTTGAATTGTCTTAGGAAGATTCTGAAGATTACCAGGCAAGATAAAGTATCAGACAGAGGTCTTTTCTCAAGCTGAACTGCAAAGCATTTAAATGTTTCTACAGAGAGCTCAACTCTGATGGTTTGACCGTGTAGCCTGAATGCCAAACATATGCTCCTTTAAAAGACTTTTAGGGAGAACTTGCATAAGGCAAGCAATCACATGGTGGTCAGAAGTGGTGGTGCAATGATACTCCCAAGGTATCTGAAGAACTTTAGTATCAATTGTGAGAAAAAGGAGACAGTGGCACAGGCCCACTCAGTGTGGCATACCCACATTAAAGAAGGCGCTGTACTCCATGAGCAAAGCAGAATTGCAGTAGTACAAAGGTAATGTGAGCTGTGCAAACCCGGAGACATTTCTATTTCAAATGTGCTAATGGACTACTTGTGCCTGACCTATACGGTTGAGCCTTCTGAACTCCATTAGTCATAGCAGAAGACACCGTACCTCAACCCCAACATCATGATGTCATTGGTTCTCTTTGAAAACAAAGGATGAACAACAAGCTATGGGGAGTGAGAGAGAAGTTCAGGTTGACACCTAGGTTGCAAGCTTTGATGACTGGGAAGATGGTGGTATTCTCTAAAGGAATAGGGAAGGTAGAAAAGGGAAATGTTTTGGAGAAAAGACAATAAATTCAGTTTGGGATATGTTCAGTTGAGCCTCCTGTACTGTTCCCTTCAAGTCACAGAAAGAAGACAAAGAGGGTAGATAATGGTTCTTTAACAGGCTTCCTCTGGAATTGGCATATCCAGTTTTGCCAAGCTGTCATCACTCCTTGTCAGTGGGTAGGGAGGCTTGTGTCTGTCATTTCTACACCAGGGCAGCAGTGCTAACGAAGACCATGAGTTTTATGGGGAGAGGCAAATTGTCATAGGCATGCCTAACAGCCGTCTCTGGTGTCCCAGGCAAGGAGATGGCAGGGATTGGTTAATACATGAGGTCTGTGTGGGGCATGGAAGTTTCCATGTATAGAAGAATCCAGAATTCCAGGTAGTTGCCATCAGATGTCATTGTAGAGGGCAATTTGGATATAGAACACTTTTCCCTCCCCTTTGGAGTGGATGGAATTGATTTCCCTACTCTTATAATCTCTGCTTCAAATCCTCTTGTGAGCTTGCCTCAGAGGCTGGAGAAAACCTACAGGCTCTTGAGGTAGATCAACCTCTGGGTTTGGAGATTATAAAATTAGCTCAGGAAAGTTTTAATCTAGGGCAATGATCTCTGCACCATGTACCTTTTCTTCTCTGGAAAGTTAGAAAGCTTAAAAATACATTACTAACCAAATACAATTACCAAATTGTATTAAAAATAAAATTAACAAAATTTATAGCATTCT